AGCGATGTTATCAAATGGGTTCCTGACAATGTGTATGAATTTCATTGGCACTCCCACCTTTTTAGCGATTTCTTCTAGCTGTTTGATACTGCTTGGGTCTTTACTTATAAGCTCCGAAGTTCGTCCCCCTTTTTTGTCTCCTATCACCTAAAGGAAAAGTCGTGGTAAAACTAGTACAGAAAATACATCAAATAAAATGAGGGTGTTCGAACTCAAATTTAAATGCGGTTTGGAAAGAGTTTCGCTCTCTGTGTAGGCTATGTTTTTTGTCACTACATATCAACTCAGTCACTCACATAGAACTTCGAAAAGTCCTGGTGAAACTTCAGTCTTATCTGGAACAACGCAGGCCTCGTTGAAATATTTTTCGAGGTAGGAACAGATTGTTGCTTGTCGAAAGGTCAAATCGCTTATTAGCTTTTTCTTCAGAGCGAAACTATATTTACTATTAAGAAAGGTATTAGATAAAGTTATCCAGCAAAATTATGTGACAATTTTTAGGAGCATCTATGAAAACCATTCTCCGAAGATCCTTTCAACTTTGAGGAAAACTTAAAAAGCTGTATTTCGGTTTAGAAAGCTACGGCAGAGCTCCCGGCAAAACTAATATTTTTGATACGGTCGGTAAGGGTAAGATTTAACAGCTGACGGACCGAAAGATTATAGAATTCGCGACAACTGTGAAGAAGTCGACAATTGCTATTGATTCCACGGTGCGCACTGTTTAATTTGAAAATTAAAAATTAATACGGATTCTGTCAGAGGGAAGGTGTGTCAGCCATTTGCCGTGCGTTGATTTTTGGCGAGTAGTAAGGGTTTTTAGGAAAATCGATCATGAAATGACTTTCATATAAAAGTTAGAGAATTCTTTCAAGTGAAAAAGGAAAATCCTTCTACTTCTTAAATGTCTTTCATTTCAGTTACAAATTTTATTTGCAAAATGAAGATACAACATGATCTAGAAGTTAGCTCTTTTAAAACTCAGAAAAGTAGGCTTAGGCGAGGTCGCGTTCAAATTTGCCGTTTTATCTGTTATGAATCATTGATGATGTCACGCATTCTGCCCGAAAATTTTTCAAGGTTGACGTTTCGAGCGTTAGGTCTTTGTCAAGCTGATGAATGGCTAACACTCTTCGTCAGGCTGATGAATGGCTAACATTCTTCGTCAGGCTGATGAATAGCAAACACTCTTCGTCAGGCTGATGTATGGCTAACACTCTTCGTCAGGCTGACGAATGGCTAACACTCGAAACCTCAACGTAAAAATTTTTTACGGTGGCCAATTTACATAATAAACTCAGGAGATATACCAAATTATCTTGTACAACCCACCACCGATGCCGGTGCATCCTCTTTATTCTTTAGGATGAGCTTGGGTTGACTGTGGGATAAGAATATAACCCATGAGCTATGAAAATCGTCTTCTGATCCTACCTTGATCCTGTTTTTGTATCCACCTTGCCATAAATCTGGAACATTGTATAAGTATGTAAATTCCCCGCCAAGAACTGTTCTATTTCGGCTTGCCCGTATTCCAAAGATGGCTTGCTTGAGAGAGGTCTGGTGAAGATCAAAATATAACTTATATTTTAGTAGGTTTTTCCTTTTGAACGCTGGAAGATTGTATCTTCTCCATTTATCCAACAGATTAAACTCGTGTGGAATAATTATTTCAGGGTGAGCATCCAAGATGGCGCCAACCAAACTATGGCTGCTGCGAGGATAACCAATGAACATCACAAAGGTCTCCACTTCATCGTAGGCTTTAAGAAGCTTCTCTGCATAGGAAAGTGAGGGCGCTTCCTCTGAAAAAATCAAATCAAAACAGTCAGTCTTGAAGCGAAGATGAACGCAAAATTGTACTGACGGAAGAGAAGGGATTGGGTCGCGATTAAACGCATCCTGTCAAGACCCAGTCTCTACCCCTTCAAATCTCACTTCAGATCGAATTTTTAGCCTGAACTCTAATGATGACCTACGCTAATGTTGGCGAAACGTCTGTCACTATTACCGACAAAAGTCCCTCTCAGGACTTCCCTCGCCACGACAGTCAGACTACACGATCAAATTGT